GTCACATGACCCGGACACCATCAAAACATAACCGGCACACCGCCAAAACATGACCAGGACACCATCACAACAGGACCGGGTCACAACACGACCGGGACACCATCAAAACATGACCGGGACACCATCACAACATGCGTCCGGATCATGTGATGCTGGTGTCCCGGTCATGTTTTGATGGTGTCCCGATCATGTTTTGATTGTGACCCAGTCATGTTGTGATGGTGTCCCGGTCCTGTTTTGATGGTGTCAGTCATGTTGTGATGGTGTCCCGGTCATGTTTTGAAGGTGTCCCGGTCATGTTGTGATGGTGTGCCGGTCATGTTGTGATGGTGTCCCGGTCATGTTTTGATGGTGTCCCGATTATGTGATGGTGGCGCGGTCATGTTGTGGTGGTGTCCCGATCATGTTTTTGATTGTGTCCCAGTGATGTTGTGCTGGTGTCCTAGTCATGTTGTGCTGGTGTCCCGGTCCTGTTTTGATGGTGTCCCCTTGGAGGAATGCCATATTGACGTCGGCTGTCCAGCGTTTCCAGCCAGAAACTTGGCTGATAGCCAGCAACACTTGTCGAGAGGTCCTTGCCAAAGTCGGGAATGAAGTGTCCAGAGCGCCATTCAGCAAGTCGGGGTCAGAGAACCCTTGCGAAACCAAACGGGCCTTGGCCTTGAGGCCGCCCTTGCCATCAGCTGCCTCACTTCAAGCTTGTTGGTGAGGTCGCCGATGTAGTGAAGACCATAGTGCTTTGCACCTGCCTGTGTGAAAGGGTACAGGGTTTTGCCAGTCCATGCATCAGCAAAGCACTGCTGCTCAGTGGAGTTGACATAGATGGTGCGAGTTCCCTTCTGGATAGATAGACTGGTGGTTGTTTGCAGAAAGTCAGTAGTGACCGGAAACTCTTCAGGATGGTATGTGCTTGTTCTGCTCCGAAGCGGGCCGTTGTTGTCCATCAGGTTGTCCGGAGGAAGCCATTGTAGATGGTTGAGCTTCGGTGTCCGTGGGAAATATGACCGGGACACCATCCGCCTATTAACTCTGACGGTGGCCCGACGGCGCTCGTCCGCCTATTAGTTTTGCAAGACCCCATAGCATGGCTATTGGAAAAAAAGAAATTGCTCCCTCATATTATGTCAATTATATGCGCCTGTGATCGCAAAGTATTAGCAAGATGGGGTTAGTAGAGCCTATTCTGGAAAAATGGGAGATTTTATGGAAAAAAAAGGCATTCTTTTATTCTGGGATTAGGATGAAGGAAACGACCTTGAAACGGCATATTTCGTCTGGAAATAAGAATGTAAACATAGATTTATTCGTGCTTCTATATTTTCTTTCCCTAGTTTTATCCGTATTTACGCACTTTAAAATCCGCGATTTCTATTTCTAAATATTTATGGTCTAAAATTGGTATTTAAATTGGCGAATTAATTTTTGAACATTTTATATATAATTAATTTATATTAATTTGGCTCTAAAATACGTTATAATGAGGTAAAGTATTTTTTAGAAATGCTATTCCGTGTTTTATGTTAACGGCTCTGTGGAATTGCATCGGTTCGGTAATGATATAAGTATAATATTTGTTATTCGATTATTTTTTTTGTCGTTTAAATTTGGTTATATTGGTGTTTATATTAATTATAAGAGTTGAATATATTTTATTGAATTATTTATTAATATGAAAATACGGATGTAGGAATACGTAGTGGAATTGCGACCGTACGAAGTGTCGAGATGGAAATGAAATAAGATGTCTGTCTATTTTGCATATGTGAAGCACGTAAGATTTTAAGGGACTCTTGTCGGGCATAGGGAAGAGTTTTGGCCTTGAGCGGGTCGTAAATCGCCTTGGCGTCGATTATTAGTGACGAGCATAATTGGTGAAAATTCGTCTATTTATCGAAATTGGAAGTCGCGTCGGGTGTAACCCTCCTAGAAGATTAACAGATACTCTAGGCGTCTATGGCGACCGAATATGCTTGGCTCTAGCATTGAGTGCACTCTTGGCAACTTGAAACTTCTCTAGTCCAGGACGATGTAGTTCTGTGTGGAACCGTCTTTCAGGATCTGCTGGCTGTAGAGGAAGATTAATTACATAGCCACCCTGGGATTCGCTGTTTCGACGAACTACCTAGACTGCATCGCTCATGGCCACCATGCATAGTTTCTCCATGTCCCTTCTAAGATTTCGAAAGATTAAGGCAGTGTCGCTGTTGTTCTTGGTAAAACGGAGGAGTTTGTTGGCTTGAGCTGCAGTGTCACCTGTGGCGGCTGTGGCTTCGCCGCACAACAAAGATACCGAAGCACTCAAATGAGGTGAGGTCTGAGTGGCAGGCCAGGTGAGGTCTGAGTGGCAGGCCATTGAAGTGCTCCCAGAAGGGCTTTGAGGCAACTTTATTCCTAGGGAACGGTTGGCATCATAATCATTGCATATCATGGACTTGACCTTCTTGAAGTCGTCGCTATGGTGCAACTTGTACTCAGTGTTGTCTCGGCTCAGGTGGCAGCCGCAGAGCTTGAAGTTAAAGGGTTCCTCAAGCTTGGACTTGAGGTGCTCGTACTCAGCAGAGCCGATTTTACCACAGCCCAAAAGGTCGTTGACGTGGAGCCCTACCATGGAGATTAGGTTCTTATCGGAGTTGTGCTAGGTGAAGAGGCACTGATCCAATGGGTGAGCTCGATATCAAGGTTTTCAAATCGCCTTCCTGGCCACAATAACCATTGCCTTGGGGCGTCGCTTACCTTAGGGTCAACCTCATCGATGGAGCGCTTGTTGGAGCGTCGAAGGTCCACAGAAGGCCGCATCTCTTAACTCCTTCAAGCTCATGGCGATGTTCTATGCTTGTGCGATGAGCTTGAGCCTGACGAGAAACTACATGTCCCCCAGTTGCACTCTCTGGTCCAGGATGCACGTGCACAATGAGGCTCAATCTGAAGATCTTCAAGAACGCCATGAGGAACCCATCTGACTATGTGCAAAAAGGTTTATTACAAGCAGATAAGAAGAGGCACATCGAAAAACCCTCACCTGAGTTTAGCTTGGGAGACGCCTCAACTCCGACATCTTCCCGACATCAAGCGATCTTTGACCAATGTGCCTACGGAGCAGTTGCCGAAGCCGATGACAACTCCTGCCCATCAAAAAGACCACCAAACTGCAGACTACAAAATGGGCAATGTCCAAAAGGTGCCACGGACAAAATGTTCACCAACGCCTTCAAGGACGGAACAGGTGCAAGAAGGAGACAAAGCTAGCGACAGAACTTGTTCCTGGACTTCTTCTTCATGAAAGCCTCAACGAGCAAGTCTACACCGTCCACAATGAAGATGACAAAGCTCTCACTGGTGTCCCTCGCAAACTTGGCAAAGTTCATGGGCTTCAGATCACCGGAAACTTGGTCATCCTCGCAACAGCCATCGTCTGTGGTTGATTGTGGAAAGGGTCAAGCACCTTTGATGACCCAAGATTCCGGCAAAAGCAAATACAACAGCCCTGGCAAGTCAAACAGCTCTTCCAAAGAAAAAAGACTCAAAGTCTGGAAAAGGGCCCAGTGGCAAGCAAAGAGCTCGCTCAGCTATGGTATGCCTTCGTTGCGGGAAGCCTGGCCACCTCGCAGCAAATTGTTCGAGGGCAGCTGCACAATCGAGCTCATCAGGACGTGTCACCCCTTCAGGGAACTAAGCAGCATTGCTCCCTGACGGCCACGTGGGATGTCCCGCCAGGTCTCCTGGTCAAGCGTGCCCATCCGAGAGCGGCCAAAGTCAATGTCGGCATGGAGTGCTTCAAGCAAGGGTCGGCCAAACGACATGGGAGTGGCAATAGGCTTGGATTTTCCCGCGAACTCGATCATTCACCTTGAACGTCCCGTAGCATCGCCACCGAAGCGGAGGGACTTGTCACACTGCTTGAAGTTCAACTTGTCCATGGGGTAGCGATTTCCAGCCACTTGAGGAAGCGCAGGATGCACTCGCCGCCAAAGAAGCTCCTTGGTCGGTCAGGATCTGCCGGCGGCACGAACCAAAGCTTCCCCTTGATCATAAGCCTCTTCAGGGTCATAGAAGATTTCATTCTCATAGTCCTAGCCCTCCTCAACATCATAGAATTCATCAATTTTGAGGACCATGTTGACCATTGAGTCATCGTCAGCAGCTTGCTTCTTTGGTGACTTTTTCCCCGATGCCTTCGATGTGAAAATGACCACAACAATGGCCTCAAGCTGAATGACTTCTTGGACGATCTCAACGCCCACGAGCGCTTCTTCGAGATGACAAAGGCCTTGGAGTTGACCGAAGGAACAACAACCGATGATAAAGCCTGTTGGACTCCGGCAAGGCCTGTGAGTTCGTGCTCCAGCATGAAGATGAAGAGTGCGCCTGAACCAGTTGATGTCTGCGCTCAGCGATGCTGGTGCGAGTTTGATCTTGACTAGGTGATGTGCGAAGCTCAATGTCGTGCTGTTCACACCATGTACCTGTGGAATCTGAAGCCCATCCAGTTCCTTCATTGACTTAGGAGGTCCATGGAACTGGATCCAGGCTCGTTCAAGGGCCTTCTGGAGAGAAAAGCGCTCTTCATGGGACTGCGCGAGCTGCCATGTAGCGAGTAGCAACATCCACCATGATGAGTACTGGAATGCGCTTGGTGCGCTGTTTGCGTTCCAGCCTCAAGGAGGATGCCAATCTCGTCCATTGCCAAACACAAAACATCTGCTTGAACCTGACGAAGTACTACAGACGTCATCGAACTCCTGGGTGTCAAAACATGGAGTCCAGCTCTTCTTGAGCTTCATCGTAGTAAAAAATATCATGGGGCTCTAGGTCATTCCATTCCCCCACGGTCTCCTAGAACTTGTTGGGATCATTGGCATCCTGGAAAAAGGTCTCTTCATTCTCATAGTTCTCATCCAGTTCGTTATCCTCCTTCCAGCAGACTTTGCTCTGCCTCTTCCATCGGGCCGGGAGCTGTGGCTTCCTCAGATGTGCAGGAAGGTGTACATAACGACGATCTTGGCCGAGGATCAGGTAGAGAGCCTGTTCGATAGCTGGAAGCGTGAGGGTCGAGCCAATGTTAGGCTGCTCTTATTCCTTGGTTAATCCGGTTCTCTTCAATACCATGCAGCCATGAGGTGCTTTTGGATGAAGCGGTGTATACAGAACCTTGCAAGGCGAAGAAGATGCTACAGGAATAGATCATTTGTATGGAGACGAAGGGATCTCCTTGGAAGAGGTGTTGAAGGGCTAGGTGATAATGCCAGAAGCCATTTTGACCCAGGTTTAGGAGGATTAGTTAATTTCCTGGACGGCTGGAACAAAAGACGGAGGATGTTATAAAGAGATCAACCGTGTGGTTCAAGAACTAGCCCCATCAACACTTCTACGAGTTCACCCTAAAAGTTCGTTTGACATCCAAAACTGATGCACAGGGCATCATGGTCTTCAGGGCGCATAGACTGGGAAGACAGATCAAGCCAAAAAGGTGGGAGGTGAAGCCTGAGTGCATGGTCGTTGCGCATCCGTCTTCTTCGAAAATGCAGTTGTGAATTTGGACTCCAATCAACTGGTTTTTCAGGTATCAGATAAAAATCTCTTTGAGCATTTGTCTGAGAACATGCATCAATAGATGTTTTGGTCTTCGGAACCCCGGATGGAAGCTGCCAAGCTGCGGGCTTGCCAATAATAAGAGGAAGAACCAGTCCTTCCTTTGTCAACGAGACAATCCGTGCGGCATCAGCTGGATAGCCATGGGGCTGCTGCAACAGCTGCGACGACAACGAGCACCAGACAACATGGCCGCTGTGGGACCGCCGAGCACCCCAGGTCCGTCCGACATTGCGTTTGATAAGCAAGAAGGTGTTGGAGCATCACGAGTCGTTCGAGAATGGGGGACCGCTGGTGGATCCTCGCTGCCCCACTTTGCCATGGAGACACCTGTGGCCTGCCTCAAGCAATCGCAATCAATTTGGATATGTAACAGCGAACATTCACCGTCTCATCCAAAGATTCGCTTGATGCGCTTGCATCGTGATGGATCCGAAATTTGGCCGCAGCCAACTACCGCCCAAGCCTTTTAATTTTACTTCTGACACAGAACGAGGTACCCGTAACAACCCTTACGCCAGACACAAACAAAAAGGAACATATTCTTCAACTTGTGTGTCTATCTTCCATATTTAGGACCGGACTTGCCATATCTATGGATACTATCAAAGGCAGTGTCCCATCTTCCAACGAGAGGTACTTTGGCACCTACATCCCGATTTTTTGGTTGCATCTCTGCACAAGTCATCTCAATACACAGCTGCTGCAGCACGTCCTTTGCAGGATCGTCGTCCCCAACGCACAGCTTCACAGCTTGCGTCCAACCCAAACAACCGTCCTCCAGCCGTTCATTCGACTTTTTCGCCACTTGTCGCAGGCTGCGTGCTCGAGTGCCTTGGGCAGTCCCGGCATGCATTTGCAGGCACCTCCATGGTTACCATCCCCATAGTTACCATCGGTCAGGAACAAAGGCAAGAGGGTTGATTCTGAATTTTTGTTTGGAGCAAAAAACTGACTGACCTGCATTGTGGACACTGGTGGTGGGCTCCATCCCTTTACTAAAATATGAACCCAGAAGTGCCAAGTGTTTCCATGGCATGGCAACTAACTGTTCTCAGGAACAAAAGCAAAGACAATCAAATCACAAGCCCGCAAATGACATTGGACAAACCAGAAATAACTGTGTAACATCGCCTGCATACAGCCTCAAAATGCCTTTTAAACAAAAGCCAAACAACACAAGTCAACTATCACCGTGTTTGATGTACGAGTGTCGGTTGAGGCAACGAAGCAGCATCCACGAACAAGTCATAGGACAGCATCAACTCTGTGTCATTATTACCCTTTTGGCGAGTCTTCACTCAGACTCGCCGTGTGGATTTGACCGTGCGATGCATCTCGGAAGTTCGCACGTCGTTCCGCTCTAGGTTTGGAAATAGTGCATGTGGTTGCTGGTGCCGGTGTTGGTACTCCGTGCCAGCTGCCTGCTTGCGGTAAGGTGGCTGTGCAATGATGGAGAGAGGTTGCTGGCGCGGGTGCTGGGAGCTGGCTGTGCATGTGGTAGAGACAAGTTGCCGGGTGGGAGGCCACTGGTGCTGGCTGGCTATGCGTGGGGGGGACAGGTTGCTGGTGCTGGTTCTATAAGTTAGGTTTCCCGGCGGCATATCAACAGGTCCTGGGATTCTCCCTGCTATCTAAGTCCATACTTGTGCAATTATTCCATCCTGGGTCAAGTAATAACCTCTTTTCAACCACGGTTCACACCGATTTCCTCGTTCGCCGTGCCCGACCTTGCAGCCCATCGAATGATCTTTGGAAGAAGCTTGCTAAGTCATATGGTTCTTCAGCCATATGTTGTTCAGCTCATATTATGGGTGAAATGATTGCCATTCTAAGAATTCTTAAACCCGGGTTTCTAGCACTTCTTTCAGCTCTGCCTTCCAAACATACTCCTCCAACTAGCCAAGATGACACAATCTAAGCATCTTAGAGCGAGCATTTATTCCCGAGATAGCGAAGCAAGAGACCCCAAATGATATAAAGAAGAACAGATAGAACATAGCATTACGTAGAAGGAACATTACGTAGAAGGAAAGAGCGAGCGCCCAGATGAAACCACAAAGACGGACAAAAGTACAAATGTAAGAACGCACAGATAAAAACAACGTAACGCACAGATAAAAACAACGTAACGTATAAGGAAAATGCGACCAAGTTGCGAGTTTGTGCGACTCCGATACGAAGGGCTGCCCCAGCGCAACCGCATAGGACGAGGTAGAGGATACGACTGCCAAGTTGTGGAGGATATCAGGACGTAAGCCATACATCATACTTGGTATCCACGTGGTACCAAAGAACCCGACCGCCGCGTCTATCACAAAGTATTACGCCTGCCGAACTCTACACATCGAAATTCATAACGAAATTTACCCATCGAAATTCACAAAGTGCTACGCCGAACACGCAATCTATATATCGAGATTCCCAAAGTGCTACGCCCACCACGTAATCTACGCATCGAAATTAACAAAGTGATACGCCCCTACCACGAAATCTGGAGATCAAAATTCATAAAGTGCTGCACCTGCCACGAACCTATATATCGAAATTCATAAAATGCGACGCCTGCCAGGAAATCTGCACATCGAAATGCATAAAGTGCTACGCCTGCTATAAAATTTAGTTATCGGAAATCCAAAATAAGCAAATTGGCACGAAGCCTTCCCAAATTTTCAAATACGTTTTTAAAATGCTGTACCTAGCACGAAATCATGCCTATAAATCATATGAAATGCTATAATAGTTACGCAAAAACTTCCTCAAATTTAAATTCCAAAAATACGATCCCTTTTATGAATTTACCCGTTTCATCTCAAAATATCGCATCCATAGTACGGATGCCCTGCGTCTACCACGTATAACGCAATCCTACGAATAACATACGCCTATCAATGTTTTTGCAACGTCCACAAAACACTGCACCTACCACGAAATTTGCAAAGTCTCCGATTCCTTGCACGTGCCACGTAAAATGCACTTCTATGTTCAAAAACGAGCACGACACCTATACGAAAGCTTCGTCCCGGAAGCGCGAAAGGCGCGGCCACCACTTTATACGAGTCTACGCGATCGAAATAAATATGAGGAGTTCGGGAAGTAGCTTTTATACGAGCCGACCACGCAAACTGCCGGAACCACACGTACGAATCCTAATTTAAATTCGCTTAACTCTTACCGTAAGAACCCCTTAATGCGGAGCACTATTTAGGGAAAAATGAGTTGCCCGCCCCGCGCGCGCTTTCGAAACAGGTTGCTAGTATTACTAGTGCTGCTGGCTGCGCCGATGCTGTGTTGGTGCTAGGTGCCGGTGTTAGTAGTGTGAATTAGACGTACACGTCGTGGATGCAGGTACTGGTATCAATGCCGGGCGCTGGTGCTAGTAGCTAGCTCTACAAAGTGGTGGAGAAAGGTTGTTGGTATCGGTGCTGGCGCTGGGTGCCGGTGCTATGAGTTAGCTGTACACGTGTAAAGACAAGTTGCTGGTTCCGGCGCCCAGTACCGGTGCTAACGCTGTGAGCTTGCTAAGCAAGCGCGCATATAAGACAGGCGGAGGCGCCACCTGTTGTCAGCTAGCAAAGTGCACTAACGCTAGTGTCAACTAATTACGCGCGCTGTGGAGGTAGGTCGTGGGATTCTGGCTAGCTATCTAGGTCTATGTTGGTGTATTTTGTTCAGTCAATTTCGTTCCGATGGATAGAATAGGGCCCCCAACCGGTTTTAAAACTGTTTAAAAACAAAATTAAAAGAGAGATTATCCTCTCCGTCCACGCAAATCCCTATTCAAAGCTATAGCTGTTTATTAACGAGCCCCCAGAACCGTATGTATTTTCCCCTTCATGCTGCAGCACCCCAAGTGCGCGGGAAACAAGAAGAAACGAACAGATACGGCTCTCAAAGGAAGAAATTAGGATCAGGTGTATGTGCTTCCTAAAGCAACCAAAAAAACGATTGAATTGCGGAATAAACCCTTCTGATGATTGTTTATTTCTGCTTTGGAAGAAGTTTGAAATGGACGTAAAGCTCGTTTCTCACGCAATTATCCAGGAGAATATACAGGAAACTAAAGTCCAGTTCGAGGGGGCCTTCCCGTAACTAACAAAAATACCGTCCCAAATGAGGATACAAACAGAACAATTTTCATAAGGCACATATGGCCTATTCATCGGTTCGTTTTTTCTATAAGCATTCATTTCCCCATGGTCGGGAAAAAAACATCTGCATGAGAGGAGTATAAGCACCAAGTCGACTAGTAAAAAACACATCACAAAAGGCTTCCTTTCGTAGCAAATGTGAGGCGTGGCCGGAAATTCAACTTCTTAAGATTCTTAGTTCCACCCTGAGAGGAGGAAGAGGAGAACAAGGAATAGGAGCAAAATGTAGGGCTTGGTAGTAGTTTTAGTATATATTGCTGATTAATGCTTACAAAATAAAAGTAGATATTTGATAGAGTCTAGAATAATTTGCTTTGGGGCTTTGCAAACAATGAAGGAAAGACTTTGCGCGCAAACAAGCCTTGGACAAACATCCACCGAACATCGCGCCGCGCGCCTGGGGCGAATTCGCCCAGCTACTTGAGGGAGCATGATGAACCAACGACCAACCAAGCGCACCATGCGACTCTAGTGACCAACTAGCTTGAAGATGGAGTCAGAACTGTTCTGTCTTAGAACTGTTCTGTCTTAGCCCTTCTTAGCTCCAGGCAAAAGGGCGAGTCGACTCAAAACAAAAGACTACTTCCTTCGGTGTACATGGCAAGGTTTGGACCTAAATGCAACCCAGTGTACTTGAGAAGTAATCGTTTTGATTAGCCGTGCCTTTGGGTTCCTCCTTCCCTGTACTGTGGATGATTATGCAAAGATTTGGGTTTCCAAACCCGGACACACAAAGCACTTATCTCCACACTTGCGCAGAATCGGACGAATAGAAATTTTCTGGAACTTCGCTGCGATGCCAGAGGCAGTCACAACAATGATAGTTGGAGGTCTCACCTTTTTGAAACGTGAAAAGCCAGCAAAAGTTGGCCCTCACCCCTTCCTCGGTCGCAGAAAAAAACATCGAGAGAACTCAGGCAAAGGCTTCGTCGATCACCTTTGGATCGAGCTCCTGGAGGCCGCTCACTCGGCGGCTGGATTGATCAAAATAGAATCCTTGAACTCAGATCAAAGTGGGATGATTCAAAGGTCAAAGGTGATCAGAGTCTTGAAAGTAGGAATTAATTTCCAATTCTGTCACCCATCTCTCTTCACGGAGATTCATCGATTTCAAAAACAAAAGGCAGAAGCTGCTAGGAGGTAAAGGATTTTGTGCACCTAGGCGGCGGTGGGATCATCTAAAAGCATGCGCGTATATAGATTGTGTTGGCCTTTTTCGAAACAACTCTCACACAAGGACCTTGGATCAATCGGCGCAAACGAACTTCAAACAAACAGCTCAAAATTTTTGTTGTCGACACTGTGACATTCGTGTTCATGCGTTTTGACACTTGTGAAGCTTGACCTCCCATAGCTTGCAGCTCTTGTCTTCTGTAGAAAGGTTGAGTTGCTAGGGGAAAACTAACGCTCACCTACTACTGGTTTATTCCGCTGAACTTCTTTTTGACTACATGAGCTTCTTAACTCCTTGACTTTGCCCAGACTCTTGGCCTTTTCTCCCCTTCCCTTTGGAGAGGCCTGCTGATCGCGGCGGTTGAGCCTGAGAGTGACTCCGGTTTGATCGGAAAAGAACGGTGAACCAAGCTTCCAAATTTAGATTCTTGATTGCAGATCAATGTGCAAAGCAAGCAGCTCTTGCTAGGCTACCTCTTGGTGTCAAAACCTTTCAATATGTACAGCAACAAGTTTTTCGGCGTCAGCTTTTCTTATCACAGTGGAATAGGAAGATTGGGTGCATTGTTCCACCTTGCGTTGAGGAGGAAGTTGATCAACCAATTCTTGACAAAGTTGCACATTACCGTAAACGCCTGCCCCGGTGGGACTGGTGTGTGGCTGCAACGGAATACACGTGGACATCTGACGTTCGTGTTTTTCATCCGGAAGGGTGGCTTGCACGTCTTGATTCCGCTGACCTTCAAACCTTTTTGAATTTTACTTCTTCTCTTGAGTGGAGACTTGATCCTAATGCAAGTACAGCGTTTGTTGAGTTTGCGTACCTATTTTGGGTGCGTGGCTATGTCCTTCGATCCTGTTCTTCCGCGGACAGCAATTTCAGAGATTTGACATTCTGGCTGAGGAGGGTCCTCGTTTTCTTTAACAAACTTTCTTCCCACGGAGTGTTCCCTGGCAAGACCGACCAGTACAAGCTCAAGACAGAGGGACGAGCCCTTCCCCAGGGTGCCATCGTTGGCGCTTCAATCCGTTTTTCAGTGGACGAATTGGCAAATTTCGCCGAACTTCTCTTCAACGGGTGCTCCAAGCACCTCTCGTCTTGGGAGTTCGCTCTTTAGGCTGTAGTGTTTCTGTCTTCTTTTCTCACGTGATCTTCATTTGCTGCTGGTGATCCAAGTGTGTTCACAGTAGCGTTTCAGGAACTCCCAACAGGCGAAGCGTGAATGGGAGGTCCGGAACGAGTGGGGTAGAAGAGGTTGTTCAATCCAGCTGTCTGGCCCAAAGCCTTCAGCTGAGGGTTTCGGGTGCCCTGCCGCCACGATCGCTCGTGGGGTCACTCGTCCATAGAATCACCCTCGCAGCACTTTGTGAACCTCCAGGTGCAGATTTCGTGACAGGCGCAGCACTTTGGCGCAGCCCTGTATGAACCTTGCAGTGCACACTCGTGGCAGGCACAGCACTTTTTGTGAACCTCCACGCGCAGATTTCGTGGCAGGCGCAG